TTGGATGCATATGCTAGGGATCAGCTGTCCATGGGAGCTGGGGGCTGGATCAATACTAATGGGAACCTGTGTACCTGTAGCTCTGCACTGGATTTACTTGAGGCAGGTGCATACCCACCACTGATACAGTTCTGGTTAGGCACAGCCTGAAGAAAAGATGCCTTTCAAACATGGAACAGGGCTCCTGGCCACCCACAAAGAAAGAGAAGGCCTGATGCAGTGGGAGATCTCTTATCTCTGAACATCTCATCATCTGCTTCCAGGCAATAGAGCTGTGATCTAAGCAGGTGACGACTCGCTCCAAAATCTCTTTTTAGAGCTGTATTCCATCTCTGAATATCTCCTTTGTTGTCTTAATGAGATGACTTCTACCGTAAGAGTGTGGGGGAGAGCTGATGCAGAAGAGCCCCAGAAAAGTGATTAACTATAAATAATAACTGAACACCAGCAGTTTACTATTCATGTAGTTGCACTTCTACCATTGTTCCTTATATAAAATCAGTCAAATCAAGTATCTCTTCGCTTTGTTTGGGAACTGCAAGAAGTACTTTGAGATCACAGAAAAGATAATTTTCCCCCTGTGCCTTTTTATTTGGGACAAGAAAGGCAACACTTATTCTCAACTCTCACCCAGGGAAAGAATCTGAACTGCAAATGCAGCCCAAATGTGGGCTTGGCAGCGTTAGTCAGCCCTTCCGAAATGGGTTTGTTACATTGGTTCTGTCTGCTTATGGATGGCAATGTGGAAACACTGGGATGGAGTAAATACTGGGATAAGGGTACCTAATGCATATCAAGAGGTTTGCTTCAAGGCCTGCCTGCTGGTGAGTTTGAGGAGGCAAGCAATCGAAGGTGTCAGGTAGCCACAGCCCACCATCAGCAGGTCCCAGCTGATGCTCCAGTTCATTGTTTAGCCTGGCCTGTGTGAAAACTCTTGTATCACTGTGGGCAATACAAACACAGCACCTGGGACTTGCACAAAGCAAGCAAGTGAATTAGTTGGATCCCTCTGTCCTCTGGAAAGGCTCTTACGTTTGTACACCTTGCTTAGAAGTGGATGACTGTGAAGGTGGTCTTAATGGTGACTCTGCTCTCCAGCTAGAAGGTGATTATCTTAGGAAGCGCAGCTTTTTCCATCAAATAACCTGGAGCTGGAAGTAGTCAAAATTGCTTTTCCGTCTCTCCTCTGCAGCTAGACAAAAGAACAAAAACCCTTGTCTCAGACAGCTGTCTTTCAGATTTTTCACCTTTTACTTCAGAAAAGTAAGCCTTTCAAGGAATAAGCAGTTGATACTGGGCCTTCTCAGTCAGGTCAGTCTTTGTCAACTGGTTAATGTATATCCACTTGCAGCTGTATTCCCTGAAGAGCATATCACATCCACTGCTTACGTTGGGAAATTCCCAAACCTGATATCTAATGGGAATTATTAGTTCCGCCCTTGTCTCTGTGCTGTAGCTGCTGTCTGCCTTGTGACAGCCAGAGCTTCTCCTTTCCGTGCTCTCAGTTGGTCACTAAGCATGCAAACCACTTTAGTGGTCAAAAAGATGCTCTGTTGGTTGCTTAAAACTGCACCTTTTTGAGATGTGAAGAGCAATCTCTGCTTCTCAATGTCCTGTTTCATGAGCCTTGTAAATGGGTGAGTGCAACTGAGCATGTGTTATTTGTGTCATCATTAGACATGTTGACATCCCAAGGTTATGCAGTCCAGTGGGCATCCCTACTTGAAAAAAAGTTGTTATTGGGTATACAAACCATATATGAACTTAGGGTGCAATCCTTCTGTCTTTGCTGTGGCCAACATAAGGAAAAGCAGGCTGGGAACTTGGGTCTCTGCATTGTGAGTAGCTCTAGGTCTTCAGGGACAGCAAATCGTAGGCACTGGGGCTGGGGGAATTCTTACTCTCCAACTCTGAGCTGTCCTGCTCTTGCACTTAGTGAAACTTGGTCATTTACATGAATGCTGCTTACATTATGGTGTGCTTATCTAAAGTTAATGAGGATTCCTACTGAATCAGATAATAGATGTATCCAAGCAGTTCCCTACCTCTGGTAAAGGGCTGATACCTGCTGAGCTGGGAAAGCACAGAGTTGTATAAGGTAACCTGTGAACTGAACTGTGCTTAATATGTGGGAGAGTAAGTTCCTTCCTGACCTCTTGAGATGATCAGTATATGCCTTGAAGCATGAGAGTTGATTGCCCTCATATAAGCTTGCATAACTACAAACCTTACTGGATAAATAATTACCTTGCCACTTAAAGAGAGAAAAATCAGTTGCAGAATGTGACTCAGTGCCTTTTGTATCAGGCTGTTCCAAGAAGTATAATAGTCTCTTAATTGAAGTCCTTATACCTTGATATTAAAATGCATTTCATTGGCATTGATATCAAAGAAATGTTAATGCTTCTACTTCTGATCTTTCTTGAGATGTAGTATGTGTGATTTTAATGAAAATCACTGTGCATGACATTCTTACAATATCTATTTTTTAAAAAAGGAAAAAAAGCAATATATTTTAAATGAATCCAAGAACACCATGTAGACTGTGTGTTTAATACCAAAAGCATTTTCTTGTGTTTCTAAGGCTGTTGCTATATTGATGTGTGACATGAATTTTGAATAAAATTTTGCATCTTGGTTTATCTTGGGACTCTTCTTTGGCTAGATGGTTTTCCTAAGAACTTTCACTAGATGGTTTTCCGTAGAACTTTCACGTCTGCTTATGTGACTGATCTAATTGAAAATGATTGTGGGTACAAAAAAATACTGTACTTTTGTTTCTCTTTGGTTTTATTTGCTTGATTCTTGATTCTCTTGATTGTCATAAGTACGAGTGAGTTAAGAATGGAGCCCATAAGCTGGAAGTGGAAGTATGCACTTGCTTCATGTAGCACAGGGTGCTTTGAGTTGGCTTCTGTCTGTTTGCTTTTTTTTGGTGTTCTGTAGGAGCCAAGCTAATTTCAATGAGATCACTGCTGGTAGCATAGGGAGCACAGTTAGGCCCGTTCCTGACCTCCTTGGAGACTCTTGTTTTGTGCCAATAGGCTAAAAGATGGTATAGAATTGTGAACTCACTGAATAAAACCCTCCCTGAACTTAACTAGTCAAAAGCAATCTCTTCTGGGAAGTGTCTGATTCGATGCAGAGTTTCGCTGTGGGGGCTGCTGTACACTATGACTTCCTCACTTGCATATCATGCAGGCTTTGCCCTAAGAGAATACTTGGGTGCATTAACTTCAGCTGAAGCTCAGGCTGGGTTCATAAACTTGTAAAATAGAAATATTAATTCTAGTCCTAAATCCAGAGGCCTTTTGAGTTAAGGAGGGCATCCATCTAACTTGAATTTTATGGCTAGCCTTAACTTTGTAATTGGCGAGCTGAAACCTCTGATCTGAATCGTTCTCTTCACTCTCAAAAGTTGGGCCTGAACTTCATGGCTTGGTTTCACTTCCCCCTGGGAGTTGATGCTGTCATTAATATTAATTTGTGAAGCTTCTTGTGCTTTCTACTTCCTTGAGTCTATGAAGTTTGCTGGATCTTGTCCTGCATCTTCACTGCCGAAGGACAGTTCACACCCTTCAGTACCTCCTATAATTGTGTAATTAGCTAACATTTTTTCATGGCCTTAGATATTCTAGCCTGTTAGCATAGATGTTTCTCCACCCAACATCACGAGCTTTGAAAGTGCAGGAAGTTGGAGACAGTGTAATTGTATGAGACTTGACCTTGAGCGCTGAAGGCTTTAATAAATTACCAGGAATAAGCCTTTTCTTTCCTTTACACTTATTGTAAGCAGTAACTGTTCCCTTTGCGTGGAAGTTCCCAGGAATTGGTGTGTAGCCAGTTATACCCAGATGGACAAGTTTCCCGGTGGGAAATAAGAGGGAATGTGCCCTTTCACATGCACTGAGGCTGAGTGAGCACCGATCTCCAGCGGGCTTGAGAGGGTATGTCATGTTTGGGAAGTGTGCCTGCTTCCTGAGTGTCTTTGCCCAGTCTTGTGAATGCCCTTGGTGTGCAGAGAGAGAACCTGCTCTGTTGGCACGGCAGCCCTCTGCCAAGTGTGCTCGTGGGCCCACTTTAATGATCGTGTTCTACATATTCCAGCTAAGACCCCACTCAGGATGGGCTGCCATAGCCGTAACCCAAGCTGAAAGCTGGGCTGCTGTTCTTAAGCAGCCCCAAGGATTGCTTATGAGGTGGGATTGCAGCCCTGTTGAGGCTGGGGAGGGAAGAGCTTGCCAGCAAGCCTCTGGCTCTGCTCATGGATATGCTGGATGGAGTCTGGGGCTGTCTGGGTTTGAGGGAGGTCAGTCTGTTGTTGAATGGTTGCAGGAATCTGATACTCTCCACAAGCAGCCTGCAGGGTCTGGATGCCAAGTTCTCTTCAACACCAGCAAAAGCTGCATCTCAGCATCTTGTTCCCTGAGGTGTGGGGAGTCTGTCCTGAGCAAAGAGCCTCTGATTTTTACATATACACGTGGTAATAGTTTGATTATGTGAACAACTGAATTTTGGAGGAAAAAAAAGAGGTGATAAATGCTTCCTGCTCTGAAAATTGTCTGAAATCAGATTTTAGGTTTAGATAGGATGGCATGAGCTAGCTTTCTCAGTTCTTTTTCTTTTGAAAAAGCATTTGACCACAGAGAGCTTGGCACGGAAATATTTTTTTTCCAAGTTCTAGCAACTGTTAGCTGGCTTTGCATATGTTCTCTTCAACAGTAAAAGCTATGTGGAAATGTTTTCCTTAAAGAAAAAATCAGAACCAAAAGCAAAGCTTCTTTTTTCTTCAGTATTTCCCTATTTTGTACCTTGAATCCCCAGAACCTCTGGCAAATCTTAGTTCTTCTCCAGTGATATTTAGCTGCAGCTCTCCCATGCTGTTGGTAATTTCACTAGCAGTAGCTCAGCTCTGCTTCAAACAGAGAAATGTATTCTCTTGGATGCGCGCTCCTGATCAAGTGCTGTGATTCCTGTTGTAATACCTCTTTCTTTTGCAGGACCTCCATTCAGTCACAGTCATCCTATGGCTCCAACTCGCCACCTCTCAGCAAGATGAATAGCATGAACAAGCTGCCCTCTGTCAGCCAGCTCATAAACCCCCAGCAGCGCAACGCACTGACCCCAACCACCATCCCTGACGGCATGGGAACAAACAGTAAGAGACCCTCCTCCTCTTTCTCCTGCTCTCTGCATGTTCCCTGCTAATCTGGGGAAGGAGACTGTATCTCTGAGGTGCTATTGTGCCACAGGGAAATCACCCCCCTTTTCCAGGCCTTCAGCATTCTGCTCTGAGTCTCACAGGGATGACAGAGCCCCTTCTCAATGCAAATCTTGTTGGCCGCACTGCTGTCTGTCTTTCAAGGTGTTTCATCTTCTTTTCCTAGCAGAGGAGTTGGAAATGTTGGCAAACTTTTCCTCTCACTTCGATTAAGGCACTTCTTAGTTTCAGAGGAAATAACTGCAGCTTGCAGCTCTGTAACTTGCTTCCTCCTGGCTGCTGAAGACTGCTCAGCAGCCCTGTAAATCCAGGATGACAGACATGGTTCTGGGATCTAAAAGATGCTTTTTTTTGTTGTTGTTGTATTTCGAAAGTGCTGGGCTCTTGCCCACACCTGTTGCTGATCCCCCTTTGGGTGCTCAGTGTCTCTGAAACAAAACTCTTTGGCTTCTGTATTGGGTTACTCTGCTGGCTCAGTTCCTCTCCTTTCCTGCAGCAGAGAAAGACGAGATGCCCACAGCTCATTGAGGTTTGTTGCTGAGCCTGCTTGCAATGAAAGGTGATGCAGAGGCAATGCTATCAGCAGTAGCTTCAGTAAAAGGAGAGCAGCAGAAGAACAGTATGTCATCTGGTCTTTGTACAGTCATTGAAGCCTTAAATATGTCAGCAGCCTACTCTGCAACAGTTCAAGGCTGTTTGGGCTGTGATTGTGCTGTGCTGGGAGTGAAGCAGGGTGCAGGGATGCTTTGATAACAATGTGCTTCCTCCTTTTCTCCTCTAGTTCCCATGATGGGCACCCACATGGCCATGACCGGCGACATGAATGGCCTCAGCCCCACACAGGCGCTGCCTCCTCCCCTCTCCATGCCTTCAACATCCCACTGCACTCCCCCTCCTCCATACCCCACAGACTGCAGCATTGTCAGGTGAGCAGAAGCAGGCTGCACATCTCCCACCTTTGGGGAGCAGAGGAGTCGTGCTGGGAGCCTGAAGGGCCCTGCTGGGTTCCTCACTCCATTCTCCTGGAGCACTGGATCTGGTGGGTTTGGCAGTCCTGAGGTTGGCACCCTCTGGGCACCCAAGCCTCAAACTACCCACCTCTGAGCAACTGAGAGAAACAGGGATTGAAGGACTGCATGAAAGCCAAAGGATGCAGCATCTGCTGGACTGGTGGAGCTGAGGGCACCCTGCACTAACACAGGGGATCTTGCAGATGTTTTTATTGGTGCTAGTATCTTTTTCTCCTGTGTACTTGCAGTAAGCTGTGACTGGGGTCAGGAATGCATCCAGCCTCCCTATTGATGTGGCCCCTTTGCCCTCCATTAAGTTGAACAGGTTGAAAGATGCTCCCCATGATCCTTTTTGCTTAGAGAGGAATATGCTGATGTGAATTACTTTGGGTGTGTGATGTGTCTGAGCCCCAAAACAACTGCTTTGGTGACAACCTCGATCTATGTGATGTGCTGCCATGGGCTCAGCTGCCTTCTGGGTGAAGCGAGCTGGCAGAATGGATCTTATGAGCCTTCCTGCCCCAAGATCTGGGCTGCAGCATCAGCTTTTGACTACTGCAAAGTGCTGTCATGAGGGTTGTCTGCTAGGCAGCAAGCTTAAAGGACTCCCTTCATTCATTTGATACGGCAGCTATGTGGCTTGCTGGCCTGGGATGACTTGGAGAAGGTCAAGCAAAGGGTAAAAGCTTCATCTCCTGTTGCTGCAGGTTGGCTGTTTGTTTGGTTTTTCTGTGGTTTGGGCTGTTGCAGCCAGGGTGATCCTTTTTTCTCTCTCCTTCCTTCCTTCCTCCTCTGCAGCTTCTTAGCGAGGTTGGGCTGCTCATCCTGTGTGGATTATTTCACGACCCAAGGGCTGACCACCATCTATCAGATTGAGCATTACTCCATGGATGTAAGTAACTCCTCACCATTTCCTTTGTTTGCACTCTTGGCCCTGATGTAGGACCAAGTCAGAAATCCAGGCTCAGTATTTTATTTTTGGTGATTTGTTGGATTTAAGGCTGTTGCACACCAGAGAAGATATACTGGCAGGTAAAAAGAGGCTGGACACAATGCCAGCACTAGTGTTGTAACTGCCTTGTCTAGCACAAAGAGAGTACCTTTTCCTCCCCACTGCTGTCCTTTTTAGCCCCCAGAGCGGCCCTAGCCCACATGCCTGTTAATTCTGCAAGGCTTGGTTTCAGTTTACACCGCCCTGAAACGCCTCACTCGCCTGCAGACAAGTAGGCTGTCCAAAAGTGGTCTGCATTTTTCTCTCCCTGCTCTTGTTCTCTGGCCTTGCTTTAACGATCTTCTCTTGCCACTGGCATCTCAGCCCAGCTCTCCTTTCTCTTGCATGGCTCTTCTTGCAGGGTTGCTTCCTCCTCTCCTGCGCCACTGCTCTCTGGAGAGCTGGCCCTCCCATTTCTGCCCCAAGACTTTGCAAGGCTATAATGCTTTCTAGAGTGGGCTGCCTGCCTTCTGCTGATGCTCTAATTAGAAAAGCTGACCCAAATTAACCAAAGCTGGTTGTTTTCGTTTTTGTTTTTTTTCCAAAAGCCAGTATCACATTTCCCAGAGCTAGGTAATGCTGCCCTCAGGTAACGTACCTGTAGAGAATACAGGGCCTCAAAGTCCAAATATTTCTTCAAGTTTAGGCTTCTGTCCTAAATTTTGGGTTTGTTTGAGTAATTAAGGCAGTTTTAATAGCATCAGACCCAGAGTTTTGAGTACTGGAGCCCAAACTTTAATTGTAAAATCCTTTTGCAGGCTTTGAAATAAACACTGAAGTTTTCAAAGCTGTTGAACTTCTGCAGTCCAGCATCCCCCCACCACAGACAACCAGCAGAACTCTCCACAGTGTTTTGGAGGCCTACAGTCCAGTTAAACTTGTAGCTTTAGGTCATCATACCTTATGCATGAATGTGTCACCTCAGAACGGACCTTGGGTCATCAGTCCTTGCTGCCTCTCAGCTCCATGTGCTTGTTCAGAAGTGGTGAGCCAGCAAACAACCACCTTCAGGATTAGTGGCTTCTGTAGCGCATCGCAGCCGCCACGGGTTAACCATAAGCATGTGCAGAGCGGCCCAGAGGCTGCTTCTACCGGAGTCCAGCCCCTCCGGATTGCCCAGGGACTGCCCCGTTAAGCCCTGCTCCTTGCCTTGCAGGATCTGGTGAGCCTCAAGATCCCGGAGCAGTTCCGCCACGCCATCTGGAAGGGCATCCTGGACCACCGGCAGCTCCATGACTTCTCCTCTCCTCCCCACCTCCTGCGTACTCCCAGCGGTGCCTCCACCGTCAGCGTGGGCTCCAGCGAAACCCGGGGGGAGCGGGTCATCGATGCTGTCCGTTTCACTCTCCGCCAGACCATTTCCTTCCCGCCCCGCGACGAGTGGAACGACTTCAACTTCGACATGGATGCCCGGCGCAACAAACAGCAACGCATCAAGGAGGAAGGGGAGTGAGCCCCACCAACGTCGCTCCACCCCGCCTCGGACGTGAACTGCTCAGCCCTTCATTTGTCTTCCTTCTGCTACTGTATCCCTGGATGAAGGGCGGCGGGAGCCTCCTTGCTCGCTCACGCTACTTATGCCCTTGATGCTGTCTAGGTCACACTCCTGGACCGCGACCTCCACCCCAGCTCTTGCGACAGAAGGAGCTGAGCGAAGGGGGACGGCGGGTGGTGTTTCCTCAAAAGGTGTCGGCCTTCGTAAGAAGGTGTTGTTCTTGTTTCCTGGTTTCCTTTTTTTTTGGTGGGAAGAGGGGCTTCTTTCCTTGACTTTCCAACCCTCGTACACCTTGTGAGTGTCCTGACCTGCAAGCTGTCTCTCTCTCATCCAGCAATCCCACTTTGAAAAGCCGGGATGGTTAGAATAAGTTTTAAAAAGCCCCATTTAAAAAAAAAAAAAAAATTAAAAAAAAACAAAAAAGAAAAGACCAAAGTCGCTAAACCCCAAACTGACAGCTCATCCCAAAAACCAAATGGGAATTGGTCTGCTGAACATTGCACTTAAACAGCCTCTTCCCACAGAGCTCAGTGCTCTGTTCGTGTGTAATATTCTCCAGCGGAGACAGCACGTGCACTTTGCTGGACAGGCCAGCACTTACGACCTCCTGCAACCCACTTCTTCTTATTCCTTTGTGTTCTACAGGGAAAAAAACCAAAAACAATCTGCTGTCTTCTCATCTTGAATGTAGACTTCCTTGCATTTCCTGGTTTACTTATTTCAGGATATAAATACAAATACAGCCATCAGTAATTCAGGCTTGTCCCCCACCCGTTGTTCACCATTCTGTACTACTACTGACATTTAAGCTAGAGAATTAGGCTTTGCAACATGTGCTGCCTGGTTAGTTTAGCAGAAGGATTTGCCTGCCTGTCCTCCAGTTGAACAGAGGACAAAACAGGAGCTGCACGCTCATTGCAGGGCTTTGGCCACCTTAAACCCAGGCAGTCCTTCACGTAGATCTTGTTAGATTGGTTTCCTGCCAGTTAAAGGTAGAGCTGTCCTTAGCGATGCCTGCAATAACTGGAGTCTGTTCTGTTGCTGGTGACTACATGATCAGCAACTGGAAGTGGAGAGTAAATAAATATTTGTATCTTTTCCAACAGCCTTGGAACAAGCACCAGTTCTTTGGTACTGCTACTGCAAAAAGTCCTGTTTACATGAACTGAAATGATTTTTCTGTTTTTCTTCATTGGTTAAACAGCAGCTGTGCTCTGAGGCATTTCCTCTATGACTGCCAGTGTCTGTGGACAAGCAACTGAACAGAGTACGTGTTTTCACATTTATATTGGCCAAGGTAGTGAGGCTGACGTATGGAAACAAATCTAAAGAGGCTCAACTAAGCACGGCTGCTTTCAAGTTGGCTTTTACTGCTAACAGTAAGTCTGAGGCTTGTTTGCTGTTTGGTTCTTTACTGGAGAAAGATAGAAAAAGCAGCTTTTAAATAACTTGTCCTCTTACCTTGTTACAACCAACGAATCTGGTTTCAATGCAGAGGTGTTTTTCTGGGCCCTGCTGTGTGCTTCTATGTGGATGTAACACGGTTAGCATCCTCTGTCTGTCCCTTGTGCCAGGTTGCATTCAAAGACTGCCTTTTGGTAACTGTGCAAGCCTAGTTTTGGATAGTTCTGAACGGTAATGCAAGATGGTTACCTTGTAAAGTGTGTATATATATATTTTTTTGTATGTGTAATTTGTTTCCTACAGCATAACATGCCATTTTTTTTTATTTTTTCTTGGGCTACCGGGTGTGACAGAACCACAATAAAATGTTTTTTCATTTTTGTTCTGTTTTTTTTTTTTTTTTAATTATTATTTTTATGCCAAATGCTTACAGTATACTTTGTAACAAATGACTTGTCACTCGACAAATATATTTGTATTTTTCATACTGAGATTCCTGTGTTACTTTGCAGTTGAGGGGAAGGGGCAGGTAACTGAGAGCCTGTTTCATCACTTTGTTTTGTAACACTTCAAAGAGCAGCGTCCTAGATTTCAAAGTATTTAACATGCTCAGTGTGAAAACTTACTGTGTCTTTTTTTTTCTCTTCCTAGTATGCTACAAAAGAAGCGAGTCAGCCTCCTGACTCCACACGAGAATTAATTCAGCAGGGCAGTGTTAGGCAGGGCAGTGTTAGTGTGGGTACTCTGTGGGTTCCTGGCAGGGAACCAGGTTTGTGCCCTCTGTGGTTTTGCATCTCCATTGTGTAATCCTTCGGAGCTGCTTCAGTATTGTAAGATATTGATGCAAAAAGTCCCTTCGTTCTAGGAACAAGCTTCTGACTACTATAAAGGTTAATGCTGTGCCCGCAGTCTGGGCACAAAATCGTCAGTATCTGCTTTTCAGTTCAGCAGTGAGATGGAGCTTTGCTGCTGCATCACTAGTGATTAAAATATATGCTGTGAAAACTTTTCTATGTACCACTATGGAGCGCACTTCTGTGTAACTGGAATCTTCAAGCGAGTTTGAACAGCTGCAGCTTTTACCCTCCCCTGTAGAGCTGTGATTTTGTTGTTGGTTTGTTGTTGTTGTTGTTGTTGTTGTTTTGATACATCAAAGCCTATCGGTTAATTGAGCTGAGAATCTACTGATGCTTCTGGTAATGACAGTGTTTCCTCTACCAGGTCTTGTGTCTGTTTTGGAACGCCTTGTTGTTGAAGTCAATGAAAATAAAAGCCAGATTGAAAACGACATCCCATTCCCAAGCAGTTTCTTTTCTTGCCTGTGCGCCTCCTTGGAAGTGAGCAGGAGACTTTGTCGTTTATCCAGCTGAGCAGCTGGGACTGTGACAGTGTCTCCTCTGTGTGTGTGCCCTTTAATCCCTATAGGCACTCCTTGGTGGCTGCTTCTGCAGTCCTAACTTGGCCCAGCACAGGGGCTGTGGAGATGGTTTTGTGCTATCTCATATTGGGCCCATTTAGTTGCACCAGGAAGGTGTCTGCCTCCCTGCAGATACTCCAGAGGGAGAATTCCCTCTGTGTGTGCTTGCCTTGAGCTGACTTCCCTTTCTCCATTGGAAGTGGGTATGTCTGTATGTTTGAATTTTGGTCTGTCTGGAGTGTTGAGTCATATAGAGCTTGACAGTAACACCATCAGTGGCTTCTGCACAGAGCTCATATCTGTCTCCCATGACTTTCTGAGGTTTTGGAAGGGCTCAGGAAGGCAACAAAAGGTCTGTTTAAAAACAAACAAACAAAACAAAACCACCCCTATAAAGCTCTCTAGAGAGGAAAACTCCATTCTTCCCTATGGGAGTTAATTCCATGCTTACCGTTACCCAGGGAATACCTCTCTGATTTCCTTCGTTTTCAGTTGCTTCTGTTGCTGTTCTTGGCCAGAGAAGCTCCTGTCTTTGGGTATTGCTGCCTGGAGGCATCGTTCCACTCTGGGTTCTGCTGTGACAGCCAGGGGGTGCTCAAATGTGGCATTAAAAAAAAGCTAACAAGCTGCTCTCAAAGAGAGAAGTGCTGCTGGGAATGCAGGAACTTGCTGTTTCAGCTCCATGCCTCCAGACGAGCTAACTGAATCAGGTAAAAGAGGATTTTGGTTTCTGTGAACCAGGTAAGCTTGAAATGTGTTTGCTGTTGATTGCAGTAACTATGAACCATTGCTGGATTAATAACTTTGGCTTATATTACAGCAAGGGTTTATGCGCTGAGGAATCCCACGCTGCTGCTTTTCACCAGCCATATATATATGGATCTGCTGGAATCTTGTCTTTGGATAATGGGATAATTCCTTCACAGGTATGAAGGGTTTTTTTTTGTTTTTCTCCTTTACTACCATAATCACTGCAGCCCTTGGCTCTTCTGGCTGTGCCACTTCCTCCATCGCTGGGGCTGCATGCTCAGACACGAGGTGGGTGCATCCTGGCATGCTTAGTACTTATCTAAGGCAGCTGGGCTGCTACCAACCATGACGGCATGTGAGGGGGATGCTTACATTGTCTCTTCCAACAGCCAGCAGCTGGAGATGGGGGGCTTCCATGCAGACAGAGGCTTTTCTTTTTCTTTTTTTTTTTCCCTTTTTTTTCTTTTCCCCTTCTTCTCCTCTCCTCCCCTTCTTCTTCTCCTTCTTTTCTTTTAATTAAAAAGAAAGAAATGGGTTGCTGCCCCGTCCCTGTCGTGCTGACCCATTCTTTTGCGTGGGTTCAGTTCCGCTGCGGAACGCTACGGTCGGGGCACCACTGCCCTCTGCCGGGGCCGCACTCGGGGCTCCTGGGGCCGCTCCTCCTACAGCAAGCCGGGGACAGCCTCTCTCCCTCCCACCCTGGAGGCTGCAGCCCTCCACGGTTCCCCCATGCAGCATCACCCCGCAGCAACCAGGCTGAAATGCGCTTTACCTTCCCAGCCAGGAACTCCCACAGCAGCACCTGGCTCTGCAGCTCAGTGTGGGGCTCCCACGGCAGCACCCAGCTGAGCCAGTCTGGGTGGGGAGTCAGGCACCCTGCCAGGGCCCACCTGCCTGCAGCTCTGTACTGTGCACCTGCAGGGTGCTGCCACCCTGGGGCTCCCTGCCAGCTGTGTGCTTTCAGAGCTCAGCATGGCTGTAGTGTGGTTTTGGGGTGGGAGAAGGGCAAAGGGGAGAGCTGCTCCTTGCAGTGGACAGGTGCCCACTGCAGTGTGGGAATGGAGATGTTTTATAAGGAGGAGATGGGGAAGAGAGGGAGGATGGCACAGGCTGTACTGGGAGGTGGGCAGTGCAGGTGCTGGTCTCTGATTTCCTCCTGTTTTTCCTAAATGGCACCTTGGGGATTCAGCTGCTTTCTTCTTGTTTTTCTCCTGAAATTGCTTTTGTTTGTTGGCAGGGCTGTTGGGTTTTGTTTATGGTTGTTTTGTGTTGGTTGTTTTTATTTTCCCAAATCCCTCAGCAAGCATCTGATTAATTCAGCTTCTGATTCCTTGGAAATGGCCTCTGGAGATGGTGCTGAAGATTTCTACACATGCCATCCAACTTCTGGGCTGCATAGCCCTCAGCACTGGAATTGGGTAAGAAATGTTACAACAGCTCCCAGCACTCTG